ACCCCGGGGGTTGGGGCCGGGGGGCCGGGGGGAGCCGCTGAGTGAGCCGTTGTCGGAAGCTCGGCGGAGCTATGGAGGCTTGAAGGAGGCTGTGAGGGAGAGACGCACGGAGCGGGCCGGTCAGGAGGGATATATTGGCCTCGTCTTACATGGAGAGATGCGCTGCGTCCCCGTCCACACCTTTCCTCTCGGAAGAGATGCCAGCTCCTGCGCTCGGGGCCGCTTTCGACTCTTTCTCACTGTGTTTTCTTTGCTTTTTTCGACTCGGTCTGTCTGCAGATGGCCGTCGTGTGCCGTGCCAGCTGCCTCTGGCTTGCAGCAGTATCCTGTTCACGTCTTGCTGTTCAGAAGGGGGGTAGATGAGAGGGCATGCCCTTCTGTTTTTAGAATGGAAGGCGGTTGGGTGGTGAAGGAGAGGTAACCGGTGAGCCAGTGCTGGATCACTTATTTTAATGTGCAGTCTGCGGTATTAGCTTTAATTTTTATTTTCGGGCTGGCCTTTAAGTCGTTTCTGAAACTCCTCCAAGTGTTTGTCATTTAAAAACACTTTAGTTGATAACTTACAGTGTATTGATGTACAAACGCTGTGAAGTGATAACAGCATTCTTACCCTTTGCATTCACTTCTTTATATGAGACAGAAGTGTTAAATTTCAGAGTAGTTGTTCTTTACCACAGAATTGATAAGCCTGCTTATTAATTACAGAGCTGCAATTTAGTCTGAAATTACTGTGCTGGTATTAGAGAAACAGAACAACTTTATTTCTGTTTGTCAAGACAGTAAACTTTTAACATTTCTAAGACTACAGTATTGCAGATTTCAGCAGTTGTGTGTGTGGGTTTTTTTAAGTTAACGTACTGGAGAAAAGAACCCAACTGTAACTCCTGAATATATGTTAGTGTCTTATTGTTTCTTTCATTTTCACTCCTTTATTGCACACTTTAAAGCAATGTTTATATAACTTTTTGTTTACTCTGCTGAATTGAATGTACTCTGAAGCAGTGCTCTTTTTTCCAGTATATGTGTTAAAACTTCTTTGTTTTGTAGTGCAGACACTTCAAACACATGGATCCTGATCAGAAACAAAACGAAAAGTCGTCAGATGAAATAATTAAGGGAAACAATTTAAAAAATGTCAGATTTCATATTTTTTGTTCACACTACTGTAAAGTAAGAAATAGAAAAATACATAGCAAATGTGTGAGTTCCATAAGCGTTATGTTTTCCCAGAAATCTTCACTTTCTGTCTTTTTTCCACATCCATGTAAGAAATGTTTCATGACTGATTTCAATAAGTCAGTGGAATGAGAGCAGAAAGTCTCTATTTAATGCTTTAGAGCTGAGAGTTCAGGTTAGAAAGAGGGTAGTAATCTTTTTGATACACATAAGAGTAGAAATAGCTTGATGTTCTTTAAAACAAAAAGCAACACCGGAGACATTGTGACATAGTTCCATGAGGAAGACCAGTCTTAACTAAATCCATTTGATGTGTGCAGGAAAACAATTCTTCGGTACCTGATCATGCCTTCAGTGAGGCATTATTAGCTTAACCAAGCAACTATACATACAGTAAGTTTTCTGTGAGTTCATTCTCTTTGCTGAAATGCTGTCTGAACACGCCTGTGCAGTTTATTCTGAGAGAATGGGGACAGCTATTCCGTGGTATTTCATCACTTGGCTTTCTGCACTACTATTTCGTGATACTGTAGCGTTTGGCTCACAAGCACAGTGAAGCATCCAGTATAGGCTGGAGTGGACCATAGGGTGCATTCTCTGCTTTTAGAGAAGTGTGATGTAGGAAAATGGATTGAACTGCTTCTATGAAGACGTTTGTGCTGTAACTGCACTGCAAGAAAGAAGTGTACTGAAGAGATTATTGAATTTGTATCTGCTGAGAGTAAAATAGTGTTTTTTAGAAAATTAATTTGGCATTGTGTCTTTTAATTAATTGGATAGCTATTTGGTTGTGTAAAGCATTTGATTCGTAGAGATAACTATGATGATTTGCATGCTTACCACAACACAATTGTGGAAGCGTTTATTGTGAAATCTAATCAATAGGAGTACAAGAGGTTTTCTTCATAAGTTTTTTTGTTTCTATTTTTGAGCATAAAACTTATTTACAGTCTGAGAATAGTAAAATGCAGACTATATCTTGGGTTTTCTTCAGGTTTGTGAGCGAGTGTTGTGAAAGCTACTCATATTTTAGCCATCAAGTATAACATAACCATCAATGTTCATAGCAGTATTTTCAAGAATTTACGCAAGGATAGTGCTGTGTCCTTCACTTCCAGAAACGGACAAAAAAATTTCCTGTGTCTTCAAGAAAGAAAACATAAAACCTGTAGTCCTAAAATATTTTAATCTGAGGGAAAGCCAAAGACCACAGTGTAACTCACAATTATTTAGAAGAATCTTGTGGAATCATAAGGTGCTCTTGTTAAGAGAGGGCCATGAATTCTTGAAATTCTCATAACGTTTGACCTTTGAAGAATAGTTGAATTTGACTTTCTTACTCTTAAGTATAAAGTATTCCTCCTGAAACCTGATACTTTAAATGATAACTTACATCAGTTGTTTAGTGTCCTCTTTATTTTGCTAGAAAAATTATGCTCGTCAGTAAGGTCCTTCTAAGCAGGGTGTGACATAGTGAATGCAATCACTTCATTGCCTAATAAGTTACAAAGCCAACATCAGAGGAAAAAGTTTTAGAACTTATAGCAAGATTTAAGTAAAATAATCTTCATAGCCCTAGAGTAAGAAGGCTGATATATTTAGTCTGGTATGTAATTTTTAACAAAGAAAATGCCTGTTCTCTGGTTTCTGTCTCTTCTGAATATTTTGCGTAGGATACTTCCAGAGGTTGCCACATCAAGTTAGAGAGAGTACAGCAGGCAAACAGGTAATTAGCAGTCATTCAGCCAGGTAGTGCAAACAAGGAAAAGCAGATGGTAATCAGAACTCCTCAGCTCCACGGTTTAAGTAGGATGTCAAGACACTGACTGATTTCAGGGACTTCTGAGCTGTTACCTTGTGTGTTACAGCAATTTATTACCAACTTTATTGTAGCCTTCTACTAGTGATGTGTATTTTATAAACAGTAAGCATATAATCCATCTCTACAACACTATTTTTAATTGGCCAGGAAGAACAAAGGATCAGGGTGGGGGTGCGGGGGAAGGGGAATCTTTAAGTACAGATTAAAAAAAAAAAAATTGCTTTGTTAATGTTTCCTTTTAATATAGTATAACCGAATGTCACTGTATTGAAAGGCAAAAATACTTGATCATTGTCATTTTGCAAGTAATTAAGATGCTGTGATTCCTCTGCGTAGTTTTGGAATGCCTTATTATGAATGACAGCAGTTACATAAACAGTACAAATAACCAGTGATGTTCTTCTCTAGTAGTTAGGCAGTTTTAACACACCTAGAGAAAAATGATCTATTAGCGGTCTTATAACTTAAAATTGTCTTTTAAGTGTAATTTACTAAAACAATTCATAATATTGCTATTTTCTCAACAAAGTGTATTTATTATTGTTAGCAGAACTATCCTCTAAGGAACTGAAGTTTTAAAAATTGTATTTTGTAAGAAAATACTTCTGAACCCTTCTAAAGTAACTTTTTCTTTAAAGTGAAGGTCGCTGGATTCTTGTTTTAAACACGCTTTGTTTAATTGTTAATACTAAATTTTCTGTTTCTTTTGAATTTGAGCCATATTTGGATTATAGTAATACATTTTTGTTTGGAAATTTGTAAAATGTCATTATTTTAGACAAAAAGAAGAATATTTTTAGTCTGAACTTTGAATAGCTTTGATTACTGTCTGAACCTGGAGAAATGGTTGTGCTGAATTGTTTTTAGGTTTGTTTCATAGATGCCTGCAGT